GCGGCGGCGAAGATTTTTTGCCATATAAGGCGTTGAGATCCGGTTGCTCGATATCCGGATGACGAGACCCTTCTGTGATCGATACCCAACTAGACTGCATCCATATTGTACATGGTACAATATACAAACTATATTTAATATCCTACTTTGTTGTATTTGTAGCTATACCTTCTACAAAATCTAATATCATATCTACTAAGTATATATAGCCATATAGCCATATATAGCCATATCTAGGCCATACAATACTTGAATTTTAAATGTTTTAGATTCTTTTTAGATATTCTTTAGATGCTCCAATTGATGCTTTATTGATGCCCCTAAAATACTTTCTATATGAGAATTTCTAATAGATTTTCTATACTAACACTATTTTGCTTATATCAAATTCATCTAAACTAATCTTCACCTAACAATTACAATGTTGCATTCTCAATGCATTCTTTTGTCAAAGAACAACCAATGATTCAACTTAATGACTCACAAATATTTTTTGTTTTTTTAAGAAAGTCTTTGTATATAAAACAAGTTGATGCTCATCAATCTAATAAGGCAAAGACTTTGCTATTTTTTTATCCTAAACAAACTTCTATTATATAACAAGGTGAGAGATCTAAGGAGAGAATAAGACCTTTATTATGTCTTTGGCAAGATTCAGCTACAGTATTCCTATTATAACTGAAAGAACTTGTTTTCTAATACATCATTGTCTATAGCAATCTATAATCCTCATTTTGTGATCATGTTGCTTTTTAAAATAATTTTAAGTAGTATGTTTAGGTTCTATATAATATAAGTATAAATCTTTTTAATGACATTGTCATATTATATATGTTCTTACTTGAGAATACACCGGGCACCTAACTACGGAAGATAAGTAGAAATGCAACAATAATCCTATTAAGTCTAATAGAATCTTTAATAAATTTTAAATAAATCTTAATAATCCTAATCAAACTTTGACCAACCCAAAATAAATTGAAAAGAAGTTATAAAAAAACCTAAAGAAGTCCTAAACTAATCTTAAAGAAAAATTATAAGAAATCTTGAAGAACTATAAAAATAAATTTCTAAAGAAATACTAAAAATAGGAATTTTTTATAAAATAGTAAAGAATTCTAAATAAATATTAAAATAAAAATTCTAAATAAATCCTAATCAAATCTTAATTTAATCCTAATTAAAATTCTAATGGATTTTAATCAAATCTTAAGTCAAATCCTAATTGAAATCCTAATGAAATCTTAAATCCTAGATAAATTGTAAATCAAATCCTAAGCAAATCCTAATCAAATTCTAAATCTTAAACAAATTCTTAACAAATCCTATAACAGATTGAAACCTGAAGAACTAATGATTGAACCATTGATATCAATTCAAATTTTTTACACTTTTTAATAGCTTAGTTAGAGACAAGCATAAGAAAGATGAAATCAATCGCACTTATCAATTGAGAGAAATACAAGATAATCCAATTGGATATTAGATGACATCCTCCTCTAATCTAAATGCTAAACTTCTAGTATCAATATCTCCTTCTTAAACTATTAAATTGCTTTCAAAATTCATCCAAATATTGAAAATCAAGTTTAGCATCCATACAAAAAAAATTCACTTCAATCAAATTGACAGATTGCTAAAGATCTTAGAAATACTTACTAATCCTTAAACTCCAATTTTGGACACTTCAATCCACAAAAGTCCTCATATACTTCAATCTAATTATTTGATTGACTTCAAAATTTTCATATACATTTACAACTAGCATACCAACACATTGACCAAATTGAACCCATACATACACCATAGAACTCAAGAAACCTTCAAATTTATAAATATATTTTTATTTCTCAAATCCTATCTTGCCAAAAACATCACTAACTTTAAAAATCTCTCAAAAACTTAATATTAATTTAAATGACGTGAAAAAAATGCTTAAAAATATTCCTTCAAGTGTGCTCTCAAATCTTATTCTTTGATTCCTAAAAAAGCTCCTAAGTCACCATATATGCATGGTTTTGTGCCTTAGGGTCTAATTTCAATTTAGGTTGATAACTAGTCTTTTTGAGATATCAATTTTTGGTAATTTTTGGTAATTTTTATTCTAACATATTTTTAACTCTCTCCTAAACATGCTTACATTAATTTCTTATCTTATTTATATTAATTTGGATTATTTATGCCTCTATAAAATAAAAGTCTTTCTTAGAAAAGACAGTATTAAGACTAAATCTTTTACTACCTTTCTATCATTTATCCTTATTTTTTTAATACACCTTTTTATTAGACTCTTCTATAATAACATCCATATTTTTATTTTTTCACTATATAGTTGTATTACTACATAAAAATATAGAATCATTTTTTATTTAGTAAAAAATTCAAAATATATTATGTCAACTTGCATAGGTTTTGACCTTGATGAATAAGCTTATAAAAACTTAGAAGTTATTACCATAACTTTATTTGTACCTCTCCAATAAATCTTTGTTCTTGGCATCTCTCAAAGAGACAAATATTGCATGCAAAGGCTTGAATAATAACTTGTTCTAATGAGTTTTTTCTTGACATTACCAACCATAAATCTTTGACATTATCTTTCAATCTATAACAAAATTGATTGATAGTGGCTTTGTCATTATAATAGGAATTAGTCTAAGCTTCTTTTTTTTGACCATTTTCTACAAATATGGCCTTAATCACTTTTAAATATGAGTTCTGATTATAGAAGAATTTTGTATCATTTTCCATCAAAGATATAAACCAAGAAAGAATACTCCTAGATAGAAGTGCACTTATAAAATCTAATTTGAATAAATCCATCTAGATATTTAAAAAGATTTAAGTTTATATATAACTTCATTAATTGTAGAAATCCTTAAAATTTTGATCTTGTCTTATCAAACTTCTCTAGCACACTTATCCTTATTTCTCTTATACTTATAGTGATAAGACTTTTAGTATTTAGTTGAGAATTTGATTTACTTACTTTTCATAACTGTACAACTTTTCAACATAGACTTTGAACTTCATTGTTGACTTCTTTTATGGACATAGGAATAGTTTATCTTTGGTTGATATTAAAATTATGTGAGATTTCTATCCTAAGAATTTTGATAAATTCATAAAGATCTACAATATTTGCAAATTTATTCTTACTTCTATCAAAAGTAGCATCCATAATTTTTCGTTCTTTAGTCAACTTGAATAAATATACAAGTCAAATTAGAAGAGGAAAATTTGCAACCTTTCTTATCAAATGAAAATTTCTACAAAGAAGGATAATCCACTTTTTTTAAGAAAATAATCAATGTTAAAAAATTAAATTGATTATAACTTTCAAAACACAATAAATAGAAGTGGAATAATCTATTTACTTCTAAAAGAAAATAAGAATAATGAATGAATATTCTTGTTAAATTGTCAAAGATATGAATAAAAAAAAATCAAAAGGTTAATAAACCCTTGTATCACTTAAAAAGTATAAGTAATCACTCAAAGATGATATAATATTAAACTAGAATGGCTATTGCCAAAGACAAAAAAATAGTCTTTTAAGACAAGACTAAGGACTAAAAATGTGTTGATAAGAGTGAAAGAGGATTTATTCTTACCTCTATATATTATCTAACTAAAAGCTTTGTGGCGACATTCTATAGGACCTTTGACATGTATTTTACTTATAAGACATATGTCAAATTTATAAAAGAAGTTTCATATGTGTGTCACATAGCAGACTTCTACCACAAGTGGCCAACTTGTTGACTAAGTTTTGAACTTGCCAATCAACTACAAACATATATAAAGTCAAATCCACATCTATATACCTTTTTAGAAGCTTCTACGTAAGATATTATCAAATCTACTTATATTTATCTTCTACTCAATACTTCTTATCTTGATAATTATATATGTCCATGACAAACTAACATCTGTAAAGTTATAAGCTTTTATCTATTTTTATAAAGTAAATTTTTTCATTAAAAAAATAACCTTTTTTTTTATACTTTTTCATGTGTTTTTTTGTGATAAATTGCAACATATTAAGTGTGATTTTATTGAAACATTTTTTTAAATGATCATTGAATCTATATTTTTATATTCATATGCACTAAGACAATAAAAATGTGTATTAAATAAATACTTAAAATATAACATTGTTTGTAATAAAATTAAATATTACAAATTATAAGTATTCAAATAGTAAATCAATATTTTATTATTATAAGAATTTAAAGAATAAATTTTTACAATGCAAAAAGTATTATTGAAATTTTATTTTATATGTAAAAAAATACCTTAAATGATTAACAATGAAAAGAAAATATAACATTATATGTCAAAACTCATGGGCTCCAAGTAAACCATCTTATTTATTTAAGTATAATTTAACTTGGACTAGCAATTTTTATAGGTGAAAAGAACACCAAGAATTTTCAAGGACGTTAGGGTTACATTCAGCCACTATGTTGTGATTAATTGGTTCTCATTTTCTCTAAACATTATTATTGGGCTCTAATGCTCCCTGTTACTGATAGCCTCATGAAACATGTCCACTAAAGCGTCGGTAGTCAATGCTTCCAAGTTCGTTGACTGGGATTTTTTAATGGATCACCAACGAATGGAATCGCCTGAAGTGTCGGTAGCTGACAATCACAGCGGTAGTGCATACAAAGTGTCGAAATACAAGGTGGAAGTACATCTCGCAGCAAGAGTAATTAGAAGGGAGGGAACGGAGAGTATTTTGAGACGCCTAATGGCTGCCACGACGGAGATAGAACAAGGCAGAGGATGAAGGTAAATAAGCAATGTTGCCGACATAAGACGGCTGCGGTGAAAAAGGTCGTTTGGAGTAGGTCTGGTGCTAGAGGATCAATATGACCCTCACGTTAGAATTCATCTAGAAATCACAAGCGAAGCACTCTGATACCGGCCATTGTCTACAACCAGACCCTTAGCAATGGACGTGGTACAGCGAGTCGACAAGTTTGAATCTCCCACTTTTTAAGTTTTCATTTTATTTGATTTACAGTAGCTGTTACAACAGCTCTGCCAAAGTGGGCCAACTGGACAACACAAAAAGAAATCCTCCTTCGTTTTGAAGATGTGTAAGGAGTTACCATCATCAATACCAGTTCCACAATTTCTCATCCTACCAGCTGGGAACGTAAACTTGCGCAAGTGAGCTGGTCATATGATCCATTTCTCCAAGAAGAAATCTCCCAATGGGAGTAAATAAGAGACACCAACGTGCAGTGAACAAAAGATGGCTCGAGAAGCAACCAGTCAGCGTCTGCACATTCAGAATGATTTAATTCCGAATCAGAAAGACTCACCTTATCACAACAGCCGATTCTCGTCTGTACGGTTCTTCTTCGATCACTGAACTATAAATTTGTCCTATGCAATCTACATGCTAATCTACAGCTAAACTCTCAATCAAATTGTTTGAGATACAGAATAGCTAATTAATTTGCTCAAAAGCATGTCTGAAGCATACTCACATTGAGTATTCATTTGAGGTAAAGGTCATATTTCTACCACATTAGTAGAATAATACCACCCACCGAAAAGAACAGGCCCCTCTCTGTGTCCTACAGCAGCTTGTGAATGTGGAGCAATCTAGACATCCTCCGGAAATCATTTAGTTGCTCTCGGGCACTCTGGTATCAAACATGACAAGGTGTTAATAACATCATTAGATAAGTGCAATTGCCACTAACCTCGTCAAAATAGTAAGACGCCTTCAGAAATAATAAAGGTCAAAACGCTTAGAAAGGAGAAGAAGAAAGGAACTTTGTCACCTCCAAGGAAACTCGCTGGTGTCAACTCCAGCGGCATGAAGATCATCGACATGCTGCAAAGCTTCTCGGCATTCTTCTCGGTCATCAAAGTACTCTTTGTTGTCTCCAATTATTTCATACGTATTATGGCCTTTCCCAGCTATCACCTGCAAAGTATAATTCCACGAACCTGAGTTCGTAGAAATTGAGCATGAATTTTGAAATGTGGAAGTAAATTTTAAGGAAGAAATACCGATTGAAAGACGTGACTTACCACGGCATCACCTTCTTCCCCCATGGCCACACCAGCACGGACTGCTATAGTACGGATTTCGTAACAAAATAGTCTATGTCCATTTGGAAGAGGTGGGTAATAATCATCCTCTCCCCACTTGCAGTATTCCTCCATGGACCACCCCACACCCGCCAGCATATCATCTATAACGTCCACTGCACATTATATTGAACGCAAAATGAGAAACCAATAGGAGTATTTTAACAGTAAATATTTATTTGTTTTTGATCTGCGTTCCGTTCACTAGAAGGCATGGCCTTTTCGTAGCGTAATCGCAATGAGAGAACAATTCTTACATGGGTCTTCACTTCGCGGATTGTCAGATGTAAATATACATACATCACTTTTGTCGGTAGCAATTTTAGCCATCAGAGGTCGTTTGGCTTTGTCTCGATCGCCCTGGGATCCCAGCACTGCAAAACCCCCAAAAATAACATTTTAAATTAGGCGAACACTCTTACCAACACTTATACAAGTTCCCCTCATTTCTTTAGAGTATTCTAAGCGATAAACACATATATCTGTCATCAACAAAAGAGAGAAGTATACCTGTGATAATTCTCCTTGGACCACACTCTCGCACTGTATCTAACAATCTCGAAAGTCCATCCGGCGTGTTTGCGTGGTCAACAATTACAGCAAACGCTTGTTCTTCGTCAATCAGCTCACATCTCCCTGGCACAGCATCCACTTCCTCGATACCCCGAACTATGTCCTCTAGAGGAGCATCCACAGCAATACCTACACATATAGTTTCCAAAGTCAAACGGTAACGCCTAATTACTTGTTCTATATCCTAAATGAATGATGTAGTGGCAGGAGAAAACACGCTTATTGTTTCAGGAAGACACACCAAGCAGTGAGCTCCTTCAGAAACAAGAATCCAAGTGTCAGAAGAGGAATAGACGAAGGAGAACTGAATACGTCCTTCAAAACATAGTATCTACCAAAAGTCTCAAAACAACAGAATATTTTCAAAAGATTTTGAGTTGATGAATTTACTTCAGGAGATTCTCAGAAAGAAACAGAAAGACTTGATGTTCAAGATTGCAAACAAGCATACACTACAGAAGAATAATAGAGGTCTTTGAAGGGGGAGCAGCTCACCGACTGCAACGGCAGCGAGAATATTGTACACGTTGTGTCGCCCTAGCAGCCCCGAGGAGATTTCCAGATTCCCCCGGGGAGTCCGCACTAGGAGCTCTGACTCAAACAGCGACAATTGCACTTCAAGAGGGTAAACATCCGCATTCTTATTTCCCATTGCATACGTAACCACGGGGACGTCCTGGTTTCCTTGCGTTACAAAGTAATCAGATTGAGGATCATCAATGTTCACAATCTTTCTGTGCTTTTCCGGATTAACCATCTTCGCAAATAGTTTCCCTGATGCTTCTTTGTATTCGTCCTCCGATTTGTGGAAATCCTCAGGGTCATGGGTGAGATTAGTGAAAACCGCAACATCAAAATCCACCTCCTTACATCGCCCAAGGTGCATTGCGTGTGAGGAAACCTCCATGATGCATGCATCGGTGCCGTGATGCACCATGCTGGCCATATGTTTCTGCAAGTGAACCGCATCAGGAGTCGTGTGGGTAGCCTCGAGCTTCTTCTTGCCATTGATATAGTAGTTTATGGTCCCCAGAAGGCCTGCTTGCAACCCCATCGCTTCGTATATACTCCGGATAAGATATGAGGTTGTGGCCTTCCCATTTGTTCCTGTGATGCCTACAACGGCTAGGTTCTTAGAAGGATGCCCGTAGAACGCACCTGCAAGAGCAACAAACAAATGTCAAAGCATAGAACACTAAGATTGCATTGTGGCGCATTAAATTATGAAAAATTCTGAAGAGTAAGAAGTTAGACCAGTACCTGCAAGTCCAGAGAGCAAGATATTAGTGTCCTCGACAACCACAGAGGCTTCTAAGCCTTCAGCTGGTAGTACTTCCGAAGACGAGACGATGGCTACAGCGCCTTTTTCAATTGCTTGGTGTGCAAATTCATACCCATCCGACTTGAGTCCTTTGACGCACACAAACAAGTCACCTGGGATCACGAGGCGCGAATCGTGCTGTATGCCAGTGATTTCGATGTCCAAGTTACCCTCAACTGCAACAGGCGTCACCCTTGCTTCATCAAGCAGCTCCGCAAGAGTCATTCTGTAAGTAGGTTCCATCATGGCTTCACCTTCGTCGCCATTATAGACTTCGTCGTCATCAAAGCGTAACCCTCCAAATGTCTCATCCTTGAAATTGATAAACCCGTCTTCGTCTTCGTCAAGTTCCTCGTCCAAAGGAATTGCATCATCAATATCCTCAAGATCTGCTACTTCCTCTGGATCAAGTTCCTCCTCGTCCTCGTCAATTACGGGCTTGGGTTTGCTGGCAGCAGGCTTCCGGCCATTGCTCTTCGTCTGAGATTTCTTGCTCGCAATGGCTGCATCGACCAATTCAAAAGTGTCGTCAAAATCTGAAATGTCATCCTCTTCATCAATTTCCTCTTCATCCTCCTCTTCTTCCTCTTCTTCTCCTACCTGATCCCCAAGGCCAATAGCTCTCATGAAAACTGGCTTCGTCCTCTTGTACTCCTCCTCCTGCGACTTACGTACTTTCTCTGCCTCTCTCACAACTCGGTCAAACTTAGACATATCCTCGTCCTCGGCGTCCATAGCTTCCATAGGCTCCGCCTTAGCGGGATTAATGTAGTCATCGAACTCCTTCGTGTCGTCATTCCTACGCCGCGTCCGACACCTAACCAAATCTCTTGAATTAACCCCCTCAACACTCGAACGATGTCCCAAACTCCTCCTTCCAAATCCTCCCTTGACATTCCCCAACGCCTCGGCGGCAACACTCAACCTCCATCTCTGCACACCTCTACCAAAACTGGTACCATTTTGACGCAACTGAACGGAACTTTTCACCAAACAGGATTGCGAGAACCTGAGGCTATGACCAGTGGATTCAGAGGGAGAGACAGGAGGGTATTGCGAAGGAACTACAAGTTTGTGTGCGCACTGGAGCGCCATGACTGAAGCTCCCTCTCTCCTATCCCTCTGCAAGTGACAATAAGGAAAGAGGATAAGGTAAACCCCCCTTAAACCCTAAACCGTGGGCATCGTCAGGAAACCGATGACGAGTCAGGGTGGGTCATGGCCCACACACTTCAAAGTTCTGACCTTTTCGGAAACGATTACGAACATTATTTCCACTTCGTCTATCCATCTTCATCCGGTGCTCTTTCTCTATGTCGCCCATACACAGCTCTCTGACCCCGTGTTTTTCTGGGGTTATGATTTTTTTGCAGTGCAGCTTTCTGTTTTCCTGCATGGGTTATCTGCGTATAGTCCTCCTACCTTCGTCCTCCCGCATGTTCTGTTCTGTGTGTAGAAAATGTTTCAAAACGTATGACTATTTAACTACAGTAATAGATGAGGTCAATCGGCATGGTGATATTCTTCAACTGGTAGATATGTTGCGGTGGAGCTTTGATCCGCTGGTTCTTCACAATTTTCCAGTTCTGGATCAGATTTTGGGGTGAAAAAGTGGGAACTTCTACTCCACGCCGACGCGTTTACAGAAATTTTACGCTATTTCGATAAATTGAGTGAAGTATCTTCCTCTGCTGGTGGAGGAAATGATGTCGGTGTCGCCTCGTCTTATCTCAGATTCTAACCTCACGACGACTTCGTAACTGGGTTCCATCCTCACTGAAGGTCTGCCGCCGCTGCCTTTGAATGACTCTTACAAGCGGTGAACAACACTTTCTGCTTCGATGAACGAGACAGGCTCTATTAAAGTAACACGTAATGTATTGAACTGTTCCGACCCAAGCAGGTCTGCACATTATCACAGAGTTCGAGGGTTAACCCAGGATAGATGAATGGATAAGACTTTCATCAATGAATGTTTATGCCAATACCCCCTCTCACTGAAAAGATGGAAGCACTAAGCTACGAAAAACCCTAGTACCCATTTGGCTAATTCTAATATGAGTAGCTGAATAAACTATGAAAGTTCCTATGCTTGTTGTTGTACTTGTTCCATTGTTCTTGATGGTTGAGAAGCCTGTGGTGATTACTGTCGCAGTAGGGGAACGTTTGTCGTGGATTACCTTGGTGATCTTCTTGTTTTGTTGGTTCCGAAGAAGAGATGGTGTGTCTGCCACTCGAGTGTGTCGAGAAGTCTCGATAGAGGAGTTGTCGAAGGTGTGTAATTCAGACTGTTCCGCTGCTTCGTTGACTCAGTTTGACTCCACATGGGACGTGTATGTGAGCCCCAGTTTAAATGTTCAAAATGGTGATTTCGAAGTTCAGGAAGCGGCAGGGTCGAGTGAAGATGCGGCTAGGAGTATGCAGGATCAGAGGTTAGATGTAGAGATTGAAAAAGTAAAAGATAATTTTGTCACAGAAAAGGACGTTCTTTTAGAGTGAAATTGAAAGAGAAGCCGTCTAAATTGTGATATGTTTTGTATGTTGATTTATTTTTGGATTTGTTGCCATTTTCATGCTTGCCTCATTACTACAATGAATAGTGATGGGTTGATTAATTTCAAGGCCAAAGTCTTTGATTAATTTTCCTAGCCAAGCTACCTCTCTTGTTGCTACAAATAGAGCCATATATTTTGCGTCAAAGGAGTTGAGAGCAACCATTTGTAGTTTCTTAGACATCCAAGTGATGCATATTTGGCAAAGACTAAAAACAAAGCCAATTATAGATTTGCCATCTTCAAGGTCGCTCGTCTAGTTGGCACCAGCATAATAAGATATTTGAAGGTAAATATTCTTTTTGTAGAAAATCCCAAAATATTAAGTGCTTGTTAGATATCAAAATATGCATTTGACAGCTTAAAGATGTTTAAAGTTGAGGTCTTGTTATAAATCTAGTATAAATCCTTATGGAGTAAACTATATCAAATCAAGTATATTGAAGTTGAATTAATTTTCCAATAAGTAATTGATAAAGTTTTGGATTACAGAATGGCATATTCATATTGATTTGAAGTTTTAATTTTTCTACCATAAGAGTAGAGACATATTGAAAGTGTATCATATCAATTAGTTTAATGTTTAGATAAGCTCTTTGTATTATAAAAATATCTTGTAGTATTTGTATATACTTTGCTTTGAGAAATAATATCATATCTCCGTCACATAATTCAGGCATCTCAAACCAAGATTCAAGTTGAAATTTGAATCATTATATCCATTTTTTATAGTTAATTATAAATAAGAAGTCATCAACATATTGAACAAGGAGAACTTTAATTTCATGTTGAATGACATATAGATAATAATCTCATTTTTCTTTTGTAAAGCCTTGTTCTTCAAGAAAAGTATCTATTTTCTTGTACCATTGCTTTGGCACTTATCAAAGTCCATATAATGCCTTATGAAGATAATATATAAGGTGTTCTTTACTTATAATTTTCAAAGCCTTGAGGTTGTCTAATAAATATTTCTTCTTTTAAATCTCCATATAGAAATATCCTTTAGACATTCCAATGATGTATGGCTAGTTTCTTTATGCAACAAGAGTTAATAGCAATCAAATTATTTTTCATTTTACCACAAGTTCAAAGGTATCTTCATAATATATTCAGGCTCTTTGTTTAAAACTTCTAGCTATTAATTTATTTTTTTACTTTTATAAAGTTCCATCTTTCTTAAGTTTGGCTTTAAAGATCCATTTTGTACTGATGGATGCTTTTTCACATAGTAGTTGAATAAGTGTCTATATATTGTTCTTATAAATAGAAAAATCTCATCTTGCATGGCTTCACACCATTTGAATTATATTATAATTGGCTTAAATCATGCTTAGATCTTGTGAATAATTCCTTAAGTCTAGAATTGTCATTAGATTGTGTGGATGAGAAATTCATGGCTTGAATTGCAATTTGTATTGTCTTAACCCATAAAAAAATTGATATATATGTATTGATTAGCATAGATCATACTTTATTTAAAATTATTTGATTATTTTGCTTAGCAATCTCATTTTTTAAAGAAATACAGATAATTAATAGATTTCAAAGAATTTTATGTTAATAGAAGTATTCATAAAATTCATACTTAAGAAATTTGTTGCTTCTATTGAATTAGAATCAAATTAGAGGATTGCCAATTTGATGCTCAACTATTACTAAAAAAAAGTTTCAACTTTGTGAGGATCTCAATTGTAGAGGTGGAAAAATAAATCCAAATTTTTTAGCTAAAATCATTTGTAAAAAGAAAAAAATAGCAAGACTTATTGAAAAATAGTGTTAAGAGAAGACCACATAAATCAATGTAAATAAGTTCAAGTAGGATAGTAGTTTGGTGAATGAATTGATTTAAAAATTGTATATGGGTATGCTATACTTCAAGAAAAGTATTCCATAATTGATTAATAATTAAAAATCATGATATAAAAATTATTAAATCATAATTATTTAATAAAATAAGATTGTTGAAGTTGATATAACCAAGACATTTGTGCCAACAGTCTAATAAGACTATTGCTGAATTATTTCTAGAATAATGTGTAAGTAAAAGAGCCTTATTTTGATTAGAAATCAAGAATAGTTTGAACATTTGGTCAAGATGTCTTGTTGTTTCAAGGTGAGTAGAGTAAAAGGCATAATGTAAGTTAATATCATGCATGATGATTAATCAAATACTGCAATAAATTTGTCATTTTTAAGCTTTTCAATAGATAAGATATTATAATGAAGATCTAGAACATACTTAATATCCTTGAGATTTTTTATCTCTTTCAAAAAAAAATGATACATCATAATTCTTGTTTCTTGATTATATGTGTATTTTTTCTTGCTGAGGTTAGAAATGAAGAGAGAGACTAATCCAAATATTGAAAGGATTTCTTATTGCTCAAAAATTTAGTGAAGGTACCTAAATTTAATATCCACTTGAGATTATTATTGTTGATTGTGAGTGCATGAAGCATGGCTTACAGTAATTCTTGAAAATCTTGTTCATTATAAAATTGATCTATTTGTTTTAATATGTTGATGTTAGAATGGTCAAGAGGCAATCATAGATCTTTATATTGAGTAGGATAAGAAGATTTATTTGGAGAATTATATGTGTGGTGTAGTGGCCTATAAACTATCACTAGTACAATATGAAGTAGTATTAGTGCGGGACAATATTTATACATGTGTCCATGGTTATTGTTGCTATATAATATGGCCATTAGGTGAAAGATGAAAGAAAAGATTTTATTATAAAAGAGCTAAAATAATAATATTTTAAAAAATTATCTTAAAATTTTACATAAAAGATAAAAATAAAAAGGTAGTAAAAGTTAATAAGTGCTAATGATGCCTTCTTATAGAAGAGACTTTTATTTACTTTATAGAGCTATAATTGAATAAAATTAAAATAAACAAAATAAAGAATTGATATAGACATCTTTAGGAAAGAATTAAGAATAGGTTTTAGCAATTATTATCTTAAAATATGAAGAATTAATACTCAAAGAGGACCAATTGTGAATCAAGATTGAAATCTGAGCTTGAGGCACAAAATCACGCACCTATGACAATTCTACGATTCTTTGGTTGATTATAGAATAAGATTTAAAAATAGACTTATAAAAAGATTTTAAGAGTTGATTTTATGTGATTTGAAGACATATTGAAGTTTTGAGGGCTTTTAAAAGTAAAGATGTATTTGATAGATTTGGATTCTAAAAAATAATAAGAAATTTACATATTTGTAAATTTTGTGAGTATAATTGTATATTTATAAGTGAAATTTCTTTAAATTTTTTTTATTATATATATTGGATTAATTTATGATTTTTTATGTTTCTTTTAAAATTTCTTTAAATTTTCTTTTAAAATTTGATTGAAATTTGATTAACATTATTATGATTTAATTAGAATTTTTTTATGATTTTATTAGAATTATTAAGATCTTATTGTTACAAATTCTATCTTAGCTTCTACAACCAAGCGTCAAGTACATTCTCAAGCAAATTTCACAAAATTCAATATTATAGCAAATACAAAAAAATGATTGAGATTTATCTTGCTATGCAATAAAGATCCATGTGATCTAATATTGATTCTAATAAGTAA